AACACATTATCTACATTTATATGTATAATATAAAAGCAAATTTGTATAATCAATGAAGTTTTTGTATAATCAATAAAGTTTTTGTATAATCAATGAAGTTTTTGTTAAATTGTATCTATTTCCCTACTCCCAAAGGTAATTTAAAAGCACTCATTTACATTTCTAATAAACAAGTAATTTAAGTGATTAATTTCAGATACATAAATATAACAGTATAATATGTGTTAAATTTTTGCAGAAAACTTATTTATTTGAGGATTTTTAGTCATTTAATATCAATTTAAGATGTTTTAGAAAGTAAGACTTTTAAAATTATGCTGTTTTGTTTTTTTGAATTTAATATTTCTTAGGATTTTTTTAAATCAACTTGCATATGAATTTCTGTGTTGTGAGGATTTACGGGCCATGTGTTAAAATTATTTATGTTAGTGTGTAATACTTCAATTTCTGCATATGAGGTGATTGAGAAGATGTACTTTATTTGATGTAGAATTTTGTAGAAGTAATTTGAAATGTCTTGTACTCTGATCTCTTTCTGATAAGATTCGTGTAATTTTAAGCTACTGCCTTTTTTGGCAGCTAATGCATGTTATGCTGTTCTTCAAAGTTATCACCAATATCCAGTATTTAACAGTTATGCAGACATTTATTGTTATGCGTGTTTTACAACTGATACTTCTGAAATCTATTTTTTATTGATGTTTCAAATCATAGAAATGAAATAATTATGTAATGTAAAGTTTCGAAATGTTACCCAACACATAATTAACAGTTAAAACATTTATTTGGTAGTACATGTAGTTGATTATTACTAATATTCAGAATAGCAGTTTAATTTTCTGTTAGTCTTGTTATGCTTGATATTTAGGTGTTACTAGTTTAGTTTTGTTGAAGTCTTTGAAATTTGTGACTAAGATCCGTAGTTAATTTTTGAAAGTGGATGTTGAAGATGTGATACAATATGAAACTATTGGTGAGTCATGTGACTTGGGGTATAGTTTTAGATCGGCAACATTTTACTTCCCAGTTTTATTGATATGGTTGTAGTGAACTAGTTTGTGATTTATGGAATATTATTTAAGTTATCATTATTTTTCCAAATTTGTACTTATGTAAGCAGACTTTAGTCATTTTATTAACTTTCAAACGAAACTGTTGGTGTCTTCCTTCTATATATATTCATCAACTCTTATCATCAGTACGAATAAAATTTTATAATTAAGAATTTATTTTCAAATTTTTATCTCAAATTAGTACTGGAAACCCTTGACAGACAAATGTCGTGTTTTCCACTAGCTACTATTTGAATTTGTTGGAGTTTAAGTTATATATTGTTTAAGCATGTTAAAAGTTTAGTATGAAGTAGATAGAGCCTCTCATTTTTGAATTCTTTTGAAGTCTTACTCCTTATTAAGAAGTGTAATGTTTCTACGTTTTAACATAAACTGCTACATTAGTCTCATTGTTAGCAGATAATTTTGCTATTCTTAGTCTTTGGTAGTTATTTATTATTCTTTAGATTTGAATGTATGTACTTATTTGTCTCTCTGTAGTTTCAGCTGTGCATTCTAAATGCATATGTTTTAATATTAAGTTTGAAAATTTTATGTAATAATAGTTATTGCAGTTTATGGAAGGTGAATGAATATATTAAGTCAAAATATTTATAAAAGTGAATGTATTATTTAAGAATACTCCTTACCATTAAAAGTAGTTAGTTTCTAACATTAAAAATTATATTTTATAATTGCATAAAAGTTTCTAGGATTTCTAGAATTTTCAGATTGGGAATTTTATGTAAAAGCAGTAAAAAGTCAAACACCAAAATTTTACTCTATTAAAACTTCTTTCTTTATTAAAAATTGTGATCTTTATTTGGAGAAATAATGCTCGTTTTTAATTTTTAGCTCTTACTTTTTCCTTTCTCTTTCAGTCAACTACGCGGAATTGGACTTTGTGGGACTACTTGTACCTAAATTCAAAACCATGTCACAACCTTGCTGGGATCACAGGACTGCTCTGTCCTTTTATTCCCTTTAAATTACACCTGTCGCGTTAAGATGGGCATTATTACTTTAAAGAATATAACCATAAAACAGCAAATCTTTTTTTTATATATAAAAGAGGGTTTGTATGTATGTGGGAATGTTGGTCATTTATTGGCACAGATTTAAATTGTTTGAAACAGATAAGGGCACTCTTTTGTTATAAGAACCACATTCAGAAATGTATGTATGTATGCATGGAGGAATGTGTTCAGGTATGTATGCATGTATGTATGGATGGAATGTGTTCAGGTATGCACAAATGTGTATTTGTGAATACATATATGCATGTATATACATATACGCATGTACATACATTTCTGAACCTGATCCCGATAACAGAACAGTACCCAGATAAGTCAGTCATTTTCCCTTGTAATGTTGAGCCTAGCACCCACTTCTTTCAATTCTTAAAATAAATGTTATTAAAAAAACTTTAGCTTTTACTTCCCAATACAATAAGATCTAAATTTTATTGAAGTTGTTATGCAATTTGGATATTATTTTTATAACCTTATTTTACATACACATAAGAAAAAATTGTGGTTTTGTCTTTCTTATAAATTTGAAAAAGCTGATAAAGTTTGAATGAATTTTTGCTTTTTCTATAAAGGGAAAAGTTACTCTCTTTTCTTCTTATCTATTTTATTTTTTAAATATTTATTTTAAAAGTTGTGTGTATGCTTCTTGTTTGAATAGAATAATGAGCAATTAATGGTGTGTGTTGTTTTAGAGACACATTTTATTGTATAAACTAGTTTTAATAACTTTACACTTCAACTGTTTTTTTTTTTTTTTTTTTTTTTTTTTTTTTTTTTCCTACTTTGCTTTTTATCTTTAATTTACTGCCTGCTTGTGAATTAATGTTTTCATTTCATTTTGCCATTTAAGTAGTGACACAGCTTTTTATAATAATTTCATAGAAAGTTCATTTGGATTTCAGAAGAAATAATTTATTCATCTCTCATATGTTGCTTATTTTATAAAGGGAGGGGTATAATTTGGAGCTAGTATGGGCAATAAGCAAGTATGGCAGTTTGAGTTCTGTTTTCGAAACATTTATGTAACTATACTGTAGCATTTAGAAGACAGGCAAAGATATTGGACATTTTGTAATATTTGTACGTTAAGATTACAGGTTTAAATACTTAAACAAAACCTTAAAACCCTGTCATCAAGGTATAAAATGGCTTTGATGTAGTTTTGAAAAGCAATGTTTCTAATTAGAAGCATACATGTAATTTAAATTAGTGAAAATAAACTTTAATTCTCAAATTCTGTGGTGGCTCACCATATGGTGGGGAATTCTTTTATTAAAGAATACATATACATGTTTTAATTCAAATTCTACTAGGCCTACATATTTTTAATTTAATCCAAATGAATGAACGAATGAAAGCACATACAGGTATCAAAGAGATTTATTAAGTGTTTAGATTAAACCATTCTGCTTAAGTCTATCCATTTATTATCATTAGTTAGTTGACTTTTTGTTATTTTTTCAAGTATAATGACTTACATATTGAGTTAAATCCAGGCTGCTTTATAACCAGCTGAAGAGTTTACGTTAATCCTATTTATGCAAATTTTCTCCATTTTTTTATTTCCTTTCTAAACATATCTAAGTATTTTTTCATTTGCTTTCTTCCCCCTTTTTTCTTTTGGATTAGACTGATCTGAATTCACATTAAAACATATACAGTGAAAAGTCGTTAATCCGGACTCGTCGGGACTTCGGCGATTCCGGATTATAGATCATCAGTTTAAATCTCGTAAGGCTGGCGCATGCAAAATTCCAAAATTAAAAATAATGGAAACCGTAAATTTATGAAAGAAAGCAACAAGTATGATCTAAAGGAGTACAAAAAAATTTGCAAAAAGAAAAAGCTTAAATTTTTTGTTACTACTTATAAACATTTTCTTTCACAATTAAGTTGTTAAGTTTTGCTTCCGTTTCATGTGATAATCCTTTTCTCGTTAATTCTATAAACAGACACTTTTCTTTCTGAATTTCTTTCTTGTTCGTACAGTTTCCGCGTTCAAGTCCTATAAAAATTGCTGTGTCCAGACACACAAACCGACTAAATTTGTCCCATCGAAATTTTTTTTGTTTTTCATAACCTCTGTCACTTTTCTTTTTTCTATTCGCTATCGGAAGTGGGGGCGAATTATAATGACGAGGACTTTGTTTTAAAAATCAATATCAAAGACGAGCTATCGAGATGAATATACAATGTGTAAGGAATTAGAAGCCAAATAAAATAAAACAGTGCTCTCTGAAGATAACTAGATCAGTTCTGACAATCAACTATTCGAATATCATTACGACGCGCCCAGTCCTCCAGAGCGCGTGAAAACAGATAACAGCTTTCGGATTTCAAAACAATACTTCACGCTTTAGATCCTTTACATTATTAAACATATATATCGGAAATTCTATTTGGATAATCGAAATTTAAGCTTCTTTATAAAATGCTCTACAGTCCTTAAAAAATAATAAGCCGGGATCAATGATTCGAAAATTAAGGAACAACTGCCAAGATCATCACATTAACTGAATAGATCATTATTTACACTTATATATAATACGGCCATTATCATAAATGCGCACGACGAAAAAAAAATTACTTCTGCCCATTGCTCACACTCTTATCGCAGTTCGTAAAAGGTCTTACGGCGCACAAGCGTTGAACTCCTCTGCGCTGTGTCAACTAGCGCGCATGCGCAGAAAGTTTTTAGTTTTGATGTCTGGATTATAGATCATTCCGAATTATGGGTGTCCGAATTAACGACTTTTGACTATATTGCATGTTTTGCTATTTAACATTAACATATTGCAGGTATTTTAAGTAGATTTATATTGTTCTTTTCTTGCGTTAATTCCCATAACATTCTTAATGCATGAGTAAATAATTTTGAAGTAAAATTAATGTGTTTTTATCTTTAAATTTACAGGTAAATCGCAATCTTCTGTCTCATCGAGTGCTTCTAATGTAATGACACCCAATTCACATTTGGCACCTAATCGGGTGACATCTGAGTTGCAGACGCAAGAAATTATTAGGTGAGAAAGCTATTTATTGAGGAAGTTAAACTTATTTTTCGAAGTTTATTATTAATATGCATTTAATATTATGAAAAATTATTTTGTATTTTAGATGGAATTGTATTTGTACTACGGAAGGGGGGGAAATGAGGGTACTTTTCCGTTTCGCCAGCGCAAATCTCGTCAAGCAGACTTTATTGGCGAAAACACACGTATGCCCATAAAAAATGTTAACAAATGCTAGTTCTAAGAATTTTTTTATTTTGAAAGTATAAATATTTTTAATGTCGTATAAAATTTTGTAAAAAAGGCAATAAATAAAGACAATAAATTTGTAAAAAGACAATAATTTAAGAATTTACTACGCTTTCATGGTACAACATCCTGATTCGCTGTTTCATATCAAGTGATCTATCTCATTTAAACTACGCTACTAAATCTAATTCGCATAATTATTTACATTAATTTCAAGTTAAATCTTAATTGGAATACAAGTTTAAATGCAAGATTATTTCAATCGTACGATAGCTTACAGAAATATTAAAACGCAGTGCTTTACTTCGCTAGTGCATTCTCATTAGAATTGATGATTTAACACTTGATTTAGCCTTCGGATGAGCGGTTTAATGCGTTCTAAATTGACTTAGAATATGACTTATTACCTTTGTTTGGGGAAAAATTAAATTCGTGTAATTATATGCCAGTATTGAAAGAAACAATCTGATAAAAATGGCTTCACTGTTTTGAAAATGAGGAGTAAAAGTTTACCAGCGAGGACATTTCGTTTGGCATCAGTTGTACCATTACTGGCGACTTTATCACTTGCGCCGTCAAAACGGAAAAGTACCAAAATGCGTGCTTATTTACAGTTTTTATGAATCATTAGTTTTAAAATTTTGTTAGATGCATCAGAAGACATATATATATGTATGCATAAAAGGAAGTTTTAATCATTTCTGTAATTTATTACAAAATATCATTTTATATATACTATATATGTACACACAATGGTATTTCACTATACATCTACTTTGAGATAAGTCCTGTTTGGATGTGAAAACTTTTATTTAATATATGATAGTTGTTTGAAATATGATTCAAGTTTGATGAGTCATGACTGCACCCATTATTCGTGTTTACTTCTTTCGAAACAATGCTATGACTGCCGATGAGTATTCAGTATACCTTTTGCTGTTATTTATTTGCAGGCAACATATTAGCACACTTAAAAAAACACAAACCATAGATCTGGAATACAATGAGACATTTTGACACAATGGCATACAATGAGACATTTTGAGTTGAAATAATAATGCCAGTAGCCCTTTGAAGACGCTGTTCCAGAAAAATGTTTATAGTGTTTCTTCTGACTGTTAGTGTTAAATACGAATCCTCATTTTGTGTTTTTTCACCTTCCCCATTTTCCAAAAGCTAATTCTATGTTCCGGAAAAGGCACTTTGGGACACTCTAAAGCCTTCTGCTATGATGGGTTGTGTTTGACCCACTTCTAAAAGTTTGATGTCCCTCTTGGCTAAATCATGCTATTGAGGTATCATATTGATTGCTACAAGGCACTCAGTGCATGTCACTTGTTTCTAATCTTATCTATCATAACAAATGCTGGAAGTCACTTTTCTCTTTTGTATCAAAAATTTGTAATTTTTGACATCACGAACAAAATTTGCTTATTCAGAAGTTTTTAAATATGATCATTTTCTTTTGTTATCTTTCTTTTATTTTTATTAAAAATTTAATTGGTTTTATGGTTGTTCCATAATGAACTCACAATATCCCTTAATTTTTCTAGTAGTGTATTATATATACTATAATGTAAGCTTAAAAATACCAAGCATTTTTTAATTATTTATTAAGAAATAGTTTTTATTTCTGGAGACTGCAGTAATGATGTGTATTTTTAGGGATCAAAAGAGTCAAGATTTGTCTTGCTCTAACAATCCAACACCTGTGGATACAAATTTGCTAGTCACCCAAGGTATGCTATATGATTTTAATTATTATAAATTTTTCATATTCAGATCCATTACTAATATTGATTTTTTTATAGATTTTTATTTTTAATAATTATTTTCAAAATTTTTTTGAAATAAGTATGGTATGATGAAGGTAAACTATAAGCAATGGAACGTGAAACATGCGACCCCAAGATACTTTTCCACTTGGTTCTGTAGCTGTATCTTATTAAATTTTGTTTTAAAGGGAAGATGCCATATTTTCAGATCTCTAATTTTATTCTTCTCAAATTCTAGCAAGATTTAAGAGCATATTAGCATATTGTATGTATTTTTTTATTAGTGAAACAAGCTTTGAGGTTTAATACTTTTGAATTACTCTTGATTTGATTATGAATTTTCATTTTTATTTCAATTTATTCATAATACTGTCTCAGGTTTTTAAAATTTCTTCTGTTAGTCAGTTCTGAATAACTGATATTAAATCGCAAACAGATGAAGAACTGTATGTGAAGCTAACTATACTATACTGAGTATTTTAAAATGTATTTTTAATACAAAAGAGTAATGATTTTTCCCTTTTCTAATATATAAAGCAGTATTTAATGTAACAACATTATTATTAGCCTACAGAATATGTCTTTGATATATCAGCCCTCTGTAAAAAATGAGTTGAATCCCCTAAGGAAAACAATAAATTTTGAGTCCAGGGAAAACTATTTTAATAAAAATGTTTGTTTAAAATCTAGGACCAACAATAGTTTCTCGGCAGTGGGAATCGGAAGCATTGACTAGAGCAGCTTTACCTTCTTCGTGGGTAACTCATGGATCTATTGTTGCTCCTGCAGTTTGGTTAGGGCAAAGTGCATATGCTGCAGCACCAGCCCCTGCCTCAAACACTGTGCCAAGTGTTGCAATGAATTCACTTGAATCTTCTCCTATTTCTTTGCCTCCAGGTGGTTACCAGCTTGCTCGTGATTCTATCACTGGTCATCTATTACTGATACCAACAGCTAACATAGGTAAGATAGGTCAATATTGTTGGATATTATATTACATCACAGTAGCAAGTCTGTGGCATTTTTGTGATGGAAGGTGGTGGTTGTGGTTTCAAATAATGTACAATTTAATTTTGGCATCTAAACTAAAATAGATTTAGTAAAATACATTAAGTAAAGTTTTTAGTAGATTTTAATGAAATGCATTAAGTCTTTTATAAAAAATTTCCCCGTTATATCTCTTGTTTGATACCCTGTTAACATGTTTTAGTATTTATAAAGAATTTTAATTACATATCATATTTTACATATTACATTGATGAACTTTTAGAAATTTCATCTTTTAAATAAAAAATTATTAAGTGTCACATTATTGATCAATAATCAACACATACCTTTCTTAAACTGGATAAATAATATATGTATCACAATATTTATCAATCATATTTTAAGTTAAACATGTGGTGTATATTTTAATTTTGTTTGCTTCAAGATGATCATAAATTTTATATATATACTATATATGTGATGATTTATTTCATTGTAGATATTAGATGAGAGCTTGACTAAGAAAGGCACCAATTCACTTTTTAATCACAACTGAGATAGCTTTGCAGGTGATAGCTGTAATGGACTGGTGATGGTTTAATGCATAGATGTAACTTGGACATGTTTACTGCATAGTCGGAATGAAGGACTTGCCAAATGGCCAAATTCAATATAATTTTATTGTTGGTTTTGGGCAATTCTGGAGACACAGCATTTACTTCACACATGATTACAAATGCAATAGACACCCCACAGTTTTGTCGAGCAATTACATTTAAAACAGTAGAGAATACAAATAAGCGACAAGACTTGGGTTATTCAAGGCAGAGCAAGCAGCAAAAGAGGATGCATAGAACGTAGCTGAAGTAATTATAGCTCAGAAATTCTTTGTTTGTGTTCTGGATAATGATTGGGCAAGAGCTTTCGCATTGCTGAGAAATGATGAATCCAAACGGTGCAGTACATATCCTCGAAGAGAGGATGTATATATTGAAAGTAGAAATTTAAATGTTTTTAAACAAAATGAAGTTTTTTATCAACAAAATAAACATAATTTTGACTAAATTTTAAATTTGGCTTACTGAATATTTATTTATTCAGACATACAAATACAATAATAATAATAATAATGCAACGAGAATAATAATATATTTTCTATCCAAAATCTGTTGTGTTTAAATAATATTAATAACTTACTTTAAATTAAACTAAATAAAATTTAAAAAAAAATTTACAAACTTCCTAAGTTCTCAGATAAAAACTTTTCAAGTGGGATAAAAACTTGGTAATAAATAATGACAACCTTAGTTTAGCTCTCCTACTTATTAATTTTTTGACACACAAATAAAAACACAAGATTTTGATTCTGATAAAATTTGTAGACTTGGAGAAAAATTACTGAAAATTATCTTTATCATAAATTGTAGATATCCGTCAGTAAAATTCTTTTCTTAACTAATGTTCAACCATGAAAAACCACAAGGTGAAGATGATACAGAAGCCAATCTGCTTAAGAAATACTGCTCATTATTATTCTCTTTTCCATGTAATATTCTAATTTGCATCTCATGAGAGTGAGTATGATTTGTCCTGTTGAATGAATGAGCTTCACATAAATGGTATCGATTTTAAACTTCCTGCATCTCTTGTACATTTGCTGCAGGAATACATAAAATCAAAAGATTGTGCTTTTATCATGCAATAAATTACAGTTGGTTTAACCTCTTCACTTTTCATAAAACACATTGCAGATTGCTGTTGTAATGTAGTGTATGTTGACAGTGGGGGCAGCCATCATTGTACTGATGTTTCTTCTTTGCTCATTGATTCAGCATCATATTGCCATCTGTTAATCATACTTTGAGCAACAAAGACAACTCCTGGGTGCTTACAAATAAGTTATAGATTTTTTTCAATTCTGTTAAACTTTTAAGATTTTTATTTGATTTATCTGTGTACTAGGTGTATAGGCAAGTCAGTGTTGAGAAGACAGAATTGGCTGTGTTTACCTTTATCCATTTGACTTGCTAACACAGGGAGTGAATTTTGTAACTTACATGAAAGGGTTATTTTTTTAATTTTCAGAATTTGTTTTTTTAGGGGGGGATAATCATAGGTATGGGAAATAAAATTGCATGCATCTTACAAAAATGATAAAAGACTGTTGTTATTTTGTAAATGTGTAGGTATTTTCATGTCATTTAACTTTAATGTACTTTCCTAAGAAACTTATAATATTTTTAAATGCAAGTCAAGAGATTTTGCTGCAAAAATTCAACCAAAATTGAAAAATCTATGTATAAACTGAATTTAAAATTGTTCTATAAGTTTTATTATCAAAAACTGTTGATAACTGATCATTTAACTTGACTAGGCCTATCGACTAAGTGAGTGTCAAATCCTTATCCATTCAAAAATTTAGCATTCAATATTAATAAATCTGATGAATGTGTATTAGGATTAAATAAAAGAAAAGTATTTTTTCAGGTATTTAATTTGATCAAATTATTTGGAACCCCAAATTTTAGTAGCACCGTTTTACTAAAAATTCTTGGTTTAAACATGAAAACATATGGTAAGTTCTCTTTGAGTAAAATTTAGTTAAGGTCTAAATGGCAGAAAGATAATTGTTAAGAGCAGGTTAGATAATAGCTCTTTTGTATGCATTAATTTGTAATTTCCATGCGTTAGAAAATTTAAGCATATCTGAATACAATTTTATTAATCAACACTGCATTTTCCATTTTTGTTCTTATATACTTTTTTTTAAATCTAAGATTGATTATTTTGCATTGAAGTTCAAATTTATATTTTAATTGATTCCTGTGGAACTCAAAGGCATCATTTTATATTAGGGTGTAAGAAAAAAAATAAGAAGATAATACTTTTTTATCTCATTTTTTTCTAAATTTTCATAGCTTCAAAGTTAGCATTTATTTTCTACTAACTTTGTAGCAGTAAAGTAGAAAATATTATTTATTTTTAAAAAGTGTGCTGTGATTTCCATTGTGGCATGAAACAGTGTTATCGGAAAATTGTAGTGAATCAGTTTTTTAGTGGACTCTTTGCTGAATATGCAAGGCACAATGTCTTTCACATAAGTATTTATAAGTGTCTCTGCAATCGTATAAGCTTCACTATTTTATGCAATGCTGTAATTTGCATCTGTGTTTTCCTTTTGTGTTTAACATTTCAAATTGAGTTTTTTTTTTTTTTTTTCATTACGTTGTCTCTTAATGAGAAATGTATAGTTTTTTCCTGTGTAATCTGGCTACTTCATTTTGAAATGCTTACAAGGTTTAGCTGGATTGAAAGAACAACTGTTAACTAGAATTTAATTATATTCAATACATATTGCTTTAATGGCATTTTTATTGCCAGCATACATAAAGCCCCAATTCAAGCCACTCTTTATAGTTTCGTTTTGGTGTGCTGTTTGATGACACTTGCTTTTAGGATGGAACTGCACTGTTCTTCCTCCATCCCAGATGTATCTTAAGAATAATTTGCTCTTTTTTTCTTTCAAAATTTCTGTTTCTAATCGATAATTCATATTTTTAAAAATTAAATGGAGACAAACAAAGGACAAGAAGAAAAAAAAGATAAAGGTTAAAATAGGTACAATATGCTTGCGTTTCAGTTTCAGAAGATGAAATTTAAAAAAAAAAGTATAAAATGTTCAAAGAAAATGAGCACTTTTAAAATACTAAAATGACACTGAAACATTTCTTTACTTCTGAGCACAGAGATTAATGTTTTCGTTCCATTAATGTTTACGTTCTGCATGCAAATTGTCAACGTAAGCCATTTGATTTTGTGTCAACGTAAGCTATCTGATTTTGTGCTACATTAATAAATTTACTACCCATGCCATTTAAATTACTTTGTTTTATGTGTTTAAATTTCTTGTAAAAGTTGTTTTAAATTCTATCAATACATAAATAAAAGCAAAGTATGTTTCATTGTTTTCTAACCTCAGTTTCATAATTTTGTGCAGAGCACAGTTTGGGAGACATTGGTTTAGAAAATGTGTGCATACAATTTTATGTAAAAATTGCTATATTTATGAATAAATTTGATAAAGAAGAGAAAGTATTTAATAATAATGTCTTAAAAAAGAATTTTTAAGTATGTCATTTTTTTTATTCCTCTTTTAGCTGTAATTAATTTAATTTTACAGAATTAATGGACAGACCATCTGTATGGCCATCATTCAGTTCTTCCTCTGGTAACCTACCAATTCAGCAGCTTGTTACACAGCAGCAGCACACACAGTTTGAACAAGTCATTCCTCAGGTATATATTTTATCCAGATGTTTTGTTGTTACTGTTTGTGAATTACTGTTAAGTTTTCAGTATGTTAAGGAAGATTTGTATGTCTTGCATTGAAAAGAACTTCATCATCTACAAAATTTGTATTACTTGCAAAAAGTTAAAAAAATATTAATATTATTATTATTATTTACTATTAATTTCATTCTGATACCTTGTCAAGCAGTTAATTAAACTTCAGGTTTGTTGAAAGCTGAAAACAAAAAAGTGAGAGTTTTTAATGATTACATCCTGATCATATTTGACATAAATGTGCATTTAAACCAGTATTTAAATTATGAAGTTTCTTATATGCATTTTAAAGTTTTGAGCACTCAGATTTGAAGAATGTTATAAAAAATTATCAAGCTAACCTTAAAAGCATATATATTAGTAATTTCTCATTTTTATTTCATCTTCAAGATCAAATGTGCTTGAGAAATATATTTAGTTTTCCCAAATGCACGGTGCCTGTGTGTGCTAATTTTTTTGGAAATGTCTAGATACGTATTGTACTGTTATATCATTACTCCGAGTGTCAATTCCTGAATACAGTTTGTTCCAGGCAGACTGTTCGTAAACTGAAATTATTTTCTGGATAGGTTTTATGTAAAATACATTTAATCTTTTCCTGGAACATAGATGATTGCATAATTAGACTTACAGCAACTTTACAACTGTACTGTATTACAACAGTACTTTATGAATAGGTTTGTAACACAAAGTGAATAGAAGTTTGGAAATTATTAAATCTAAACACTGCCCCTCCAAAAAATATCTGTATAAAATTATTAGTAAAATATTTGAAAATTCAATTTATTTTTATAGTACTTTTATGGCAGTTGATGACATAAATGGAAAAATGGAGAGAAAGGAAAAGGATATTCTAGTTTGGATGGGAAGTCCCGTCATCAAGTAACTATTTTTTGGAGGATTTTTTGCTTTTTTTGTCTCATAGTGGAACTCAGCTCTGCTTAGAACTTGCTCAGACTCTCAGGCCATATCATGGTGATACTGTTCCATGAAACTTTACATCTTGACCCCATTTTGCATAAATTTCTCAGGAACTAGGATCATCTTGTTTTCTTTCCATTTTTTTCACAAACTTTTATTTGTTACTGCTTCTGAAGTTGATTGTTCCATACTGAGCTCATTTTTGAAATTTTCCAGAAACTCTCTCACATGTCATTGTTTACTACCAAGCCCATGGTTTTGCTTAAATATGTAATAAGTTATTAAAAAAGTCCTTAAAGTCTCACCTTAATCACAATCTCTCCATAATTTCCTCTAGGCAGAAATCATGGTCTTATAAGTCACTTGATACCATACTTTGCCAGTTTAGAATTATGCAATGAAATATAGTTCAGGAATGTTGTTAGAAGTCTCTGGGTGTTCAGTCTGTGTCAGAGGTTAATACAAACCACCTTTGAAAGTCTCTGTTGGTGGCTTGCATATTTATAACTCTATACGTTGTTCATCATTTGCAATATTTTTT